TGGTGCCTTAAAGAACGTCGCACACTTGTCGCCCAACTTTGGGATGAAACGACTAAGCCCGGCAATACGGCCGGTAGTCTCTGAATTTTCTTGCTGCTCCGTGGGGCGGCATGTCTAAGATCGCCCGAACCTTTACTGGATTGGCTTTTAATCCTTTGGGAGTCCATAGAAAGCTGAGAAATTTCCTGGTCGAGACCCCGAAAGTGCAAATAAAGGGATTTAACCTCATATTGAATTTTTTGAGCTTCCCGAAGGTCTCTTTTAGGTCTTTGATGTGTCGTTCGGATGACTTATTTTTTACTAGAATATCGTCGACAAACACCCCAATGTTCCTTCCTTTTTTATTAAAAAAAATTACATCTATGAGGCGTTGATAGGTCACCCCAATGTTTTTTAGCCCGAAGGGCATTACATTAAAATAAAATATGTCGTGTGTAGTAATAAATGTTGTTTTCTCTACATCGATTGAGTGCAACTTTATCTGGTAGAAGCCGGAGTAAGCGTCGAGGAAACTCATCACTGACTATCCCACCGATTTGTCTACCAAGATGTTAATCTTCAGTAGGGGTTAGGTATCCTTCGGGCAAGCGGCGTTGAAGTTTGTGAAGTCGACGCACATTCGCCAATTGTCGTTAGCTTTCTTGACCATGACAACGTTCCAGAGCCAACTTACATACTAAACTTCACGGATATTGTCAGCGTCTAACAACTTCTGCACCTCTGTCGTTATCATTTTGGTCAAAGTTCTGGTAGTCGACCGGATCTTATGCTGGACCGGCCAAGAGTAGGGGCTGATGTTCAACTGGTGGCACGTTGTGTTGATTGAAATGTCGGGCATTTCTATTGTGGTCCAATCGAACACTTCCCGATGCTCTCGGAGTGTATCAGCTGGTTCCTAGACTCTGTATCAAAATGTTCACTGATTAGGAAAATTTTATCGGGTTCTTCATTGGAAACATGTACCTAGAGGACGGGCAGCTGGTCTCAAGACCCCCCTCCCTCTGGATCTATATGTCGAGTGGTTCATGGTCGACGCTCGAAACAGCTTGCAAATTGCAGCTTCTAGACTGCACCAAGTTTCCCCGAATTGTGAATATTTCCCCGTCGCCAAGGAACTTTATTGCCACATTGTAGGTAGAAGTCACAGCTCAGTAGCTGTTCAGGAGTGGCCGACCGAAGATAGTATTGTAGGTCGGTGAAGGCTCTACTATGAGGAAATCCTACATGTGGTTATGTTGCTTCCTGGTTCTCCCCAAAAGATGACGAGGCCGAAGAGGCCCAGCGCCCCCTTCTTTTCTCTGGAGAATCCGAACAACGGGTCGGTCGGTGCTCAACCGGTCGGTCTTCAAGCCAATCTTATTGAACACTGGTGAACTTCTTGTGCCGACGAGAATACTACCCACCTGGTAGTTGTTGATCAGTGTTGTGACAACAATTGTTTCATTGTAGGGGTTCCCCAACGATGGGAGATCTACATCTGTGAAGACAATAGGTAAACGACTACTTGTGTAAGGGACGACAAAGCATACCTCTCCCGAGCGTTGTCACTTTAAGCCAGAGGGTCAGGGTCCTCCCCCGAAGATGGCAGAGGTTTTTCCTGCTACGTGGACTTCGTTCACCCTGACAGGTCCATTGGAGGGATCTCCTGCCGGCGCTTTACCTTGCCATTGTGTGTGTGTGCCGACTGCAACAAACTCTTTGAGTTTCCCAGCGTGGATGAGTTATTCGATCAATTTCCAAAGGTAACAAGATTCCTCTGTGTGGTAACCACGGTAGTATTGGCAGTATCTCTTCGAATCTCGTAAGGTCGGGGTCGGCTTGAAGTAGTCCTTGTTTTGGATGGCTTAAACTATTTCGTCCATTTGACACGTTGAGGGTTGTCAACCCTTTTATTTCTCTATAAACACGTGGTCGCTCATAATATTGAGTCGACCGCTGATCAGAGCATTTCTTTTGGTCATGGTTGCCTCGATCATTCCTCTGATAATCCCAACACCGAGAGTTATTGTTCCGGTGACAGGCGGAGGAATGATTGTTCTTTGCCTTCCGCAGTTCTCCTCATTATGTCCGCTTCTTCGAGGGATGTTCGGGCGTGCCCTGCTTACCCTTCGGAGAGCTCTGAAGGTCTTCTTCGGCGAGTATGTGCTCGTTCGCAATCTCCAATACTTCTGCAAAAATAGTAGGTTTAAACAGATTTAAGTCATACTTGAATTGCTTGCTTCGGACTCCTTGCTTCAAGGCGGTTCCGACTATTTCTGACTTCACATTTCTAACTTCCAGCATATCGTTCTAGAAGTGAATGATGTAGGCCGTTAGGCTCTCATTTTCTCCCTGATTGAGGTCGAGCAAGGTGTCCAAATCTTTCCTCGGCTTCTGCAAATTTTAAAAGTGTGAAACAAAGAGTCTCTTAAACTCGTAGTAACTTGGGATAGTTTCGGTTGGCAAACCATTGAACCACTGAAGGGCTGACTCTTTCAGGGTGGTTAAGAAGAGACGACACATTATAGGGTCATCAATCTGGACTAGACTGACAGATGATTTGAAAGACGCGATGTGGTCGATCAAGTTTGTCCTCCCTTTGTAAGAATTCAGGCGAAGAATCCTTATCTTGGGCAGGGTATCGCCTCTTTGATTTGGTGAGTAAAGGCCCCTCCTGCGTGCGGCAAGACAAGCACCACCATCCATTCTTCCCATCGCCAGTTCGCCTGTGCAGATGTGGTTGTGTCGGTGTGTTGGGACTCACCTTGTCCCTCTATCTGTTGGTTGCTGACCTGCTTGTGCGAGATATGTGGGTTCCCTAGTGGGGCGTTTGGGGACGAACCCCCAAGGGTTCTACTTCCAGGCGATGTGCATGTTCATTCCTCTAGGTGATTGCTGCCCAGAGAACCTCGAACTGCTCCATCATAATGGTCATTTGGGCTTTTAATCCCCAGAACTGCCCATGAATTTCTAGTTGTGTAGCGTCTCTATTGGGTTTCATGCGTGTTATCTCTCTTTGCGAAATTGTTGCTTCGTAGTTAGCTCTGCTTTTGTATGGGGTATGTCCACACTCACCGCACCACCTTTCGGGTGTTGAATCTCTTACTGTCTCTTTGTGAACACACCTCGAAAGTTAGAATCAAGTGAATGAGAGAAAAGACAGTACAGCGGGTCAAGACTTCACTGTCGAGGGAGGGGATAGTCCAAATGGTTTGTCTCCCTTTAGTCATCCATTTGTCTCATATTTATAGGAACGTATTTTACATAAGCACAGAAAAGGAGGAACAGTTACGGAAACTGTTCTTAATGTAATTAATGCTCTAATTAATTATATAGATTTTATACCATATCTTTATTACAGTTTGAATTCTAATATAGTGATAATTAATCAATCAACTTGCTTGACTTCGGCGGGTTGAGACGGCCGACTGAGTGGCGACCTTGTCGTGTGTTGGTTGACTGAGGCATCCGTTCGAGAGTTGATCTTGTCCGTCATGGCAAAATTAGGACGGTCTATTAGTCGTGGTTGAGGGTTCTCGTCTACGCCCTAGTCGATTGTTCGGACAGCTGAAGGGTCAATTTGTTTCATCGGGTGAGTGATGGTTTTTTTGTCGTTTGGCTCAAGGCCTACAAGGCCTGCATCTTCGTCTGCCTGGTCAGTTCATTGCCCCAACAGAACATTTCCTTTCACAAAATTTTGGGTGGATCTTGTCGCTGTCTATACAAGATATCCGATGAGACTCGTTGTCGGGATGATTTACGCTTCACTCTTGGGAGATTTTGTCATTATCGAGCTAGAAAACATCTCCAAAGTTTTGACCTATCCAAGGTTTAGAGACACGACTTCTCATGCTTTGCATTGAATTGTCAATCTATCACTTATCTTAGATGAAAGCTTTTTAGCCCTTTAGTCATTCATTTTTTTTGAGATTCATGCTGGCAGTTATGATGTATACATATTTTATAGATTTTTTTTTCGCGTACATAATTAATTATTTATAAAATGATATTTTATAGATTTAAACATGGATTGACATCAAAAGAAAAATGACAACACATCACATTCCCTCGCTACATGAAAAGAACATATACTAGATATGCATCATTTCTTTAAAATAGTCAAATTCACCTTGCTACACCCATAAAATATATGGGTGGTAACACTAATGTTATCAAAACCACTAAGACAAAAAAATCTAATGCCACTACATATGGCTCAAAAATTTCTACTAAAGCTTTATTTTAAACATCATCAAATGGGTCACTTTACAAATAAAGGTTCTTAGTAGAAATTTACAGGTTGATGTGGAATAAGATGGCAATGAAATAAAAAAATGAGAAGGCATGCATGAATTTTAGTAAGAGGAAAGTGGTTGTGAAGATGGTTTTATTGAAAGTTCTTCAAAAGTTTTTTAAATATTCTATAAAGTTAAAATAGAACCTAAATAAACTTATCGCATTCCTCTTAGATAGTGGAAGTTTAGTAATGTTATGGCTCAATCTATCAATAATCATATAAATTAAAACCTAAACCACATTCAAGATCACATAAAATAGCTTGGGTGGATAAAACTATAATTTCTATGACAAAATTATGTTTTAACCATTAACCAGTATTTCAAAGCGCAATGTGTAATGTGATGCACAAGATTTTATTTTTGCTTCAAAGCATAAAATAAAAAGCGAAGTGGTGCTTTTATTAACCAAAATGCTGATAGGTTATATAAAACTATTAATGTATAAATACATTCATTAACAATTATAAAATATAAAGTATGACTTAAAAATGATATAAAATAAAAATGATTATGTACAATACTTAACTTGAAGGCGAACATTGAACACGAACCTACAAATTAAAATTTTGAATAATTTTTAATTATTTATAGCAACAAATAAGAACTTAAAAATTACAAATCAACTACAGTGCTTTGAAGCGCGTTTCAACAAAGCGAAACGGTCTTCGCTTGGCTTTACTTGTAAAACACGCTTTTAAAAATATTGCATTCAACTTAATTATCATTGATTCTTCATTTTGAAAACAACCAAAATTGGTCAAAAAATTCAAGGCATACACAACTAAACCATTGCAGATAGCAAAAGAATTCACATGTAGTAAATTCAAAATTTTGGTAGCTCCCCCATTTCTTACCGTTAAACATGTGTTCGTCCACAGCTATTTATGAATAGAGAAAACTCATTAATAACATTACTTACCTTCACGTCAAGTTGCCAAGTGCTGTTCTCTAAACAAAGCCCACGTTGATCATTAATGCTTTTGAAAAACCCGAAGTTTAGCACTCCTACACCTGCGATTTAATCTCTCCTCTTCTTCAGATGGTGTTATTGGCCTCTTAGTTAGGATGGTCCCATTCCTCCCTACTACCTTTTGCTTGGTCCAAATTTGCGTTTCAGTGCTAATTTCATCATTAGTTTTGCCCTCATAATCTTCTTCATCATCCTCTCCTTCATTTTCAGTTATGTCAAGAAAAGCTTTTTTCACTATTCTGTCCTCTAAACTGTGGAATGAGATTACAGCAAGCCGGCCTCCAGAGGAGAGGCAGTCAAAACAAGCATAGATTGCGTTTTCAAGTGTTTGAAGTTCATCATTAACTACAATCCTTAGTGCTTGGAACACCCTTGTAGCTGTCTTAATCCAGCCTTGTCTTCCTGCAGTATACAGAGAAAAATAAAATATTCAGATCATTAAAGCAGCACTAAAAGAAGTCTTAAGATTTAAGAAAATCAAGCAGACAAACTATTAACAGAACCTGGAATTTTGTTTTAGTCCAGTAAAGTAACATACTGCAGAATACGGTGAAAAAGAACGCACGGCCTTTATAATAACACTAAGAAATTTAAAATTTTTTAAAAATTGCATCATGAACCCAACACAGGATATATACCTCCTGACTTTCCGGAGGCTTTACGAACAAGATCTACGAGTTCTCTTGTGGAATGCAAGCCTCCTTCCTCTCGAGCATTCATAATCTTTTTCTGAAGGAACCGCCAATTGCTTTCCTCTCCATAATCACGTAAAATCCTTCCCACTTCGGCCTCTGGCCAAGAATTCAGAATGTCTTCTGCTTTTAAAGTTGCCTGTCACAACCCTTTTAAAAGAGTTCTCAGAAAATGGAAAAATTGTAGAATACAAAGGTTATCTCAGCTAAAATCATCCCAAAATTTCAAAATAAAAAATAGTTTAATCACACTAAACTAATAAAATGAGGCAAATAAGAATGCAGTTCCTTTAAGAACAATCATCAGCAATGATGTGGGAGCTGAAGCCGTATGACCGTGGTTCAAAGGGATGTAGTCCTAGAATAAATTCCAGCATATTTTTATTTATTTTATGTTTCTTTCCTGATATCCTAGTTTCTAATTAGATTATTTCCATTAAGAGACTTTTATATATGTTGTGTGATAGTTGTTTGGATTTCAGTTTTTAACTTTATGAATTTTGAGAGATTTATCGTTGATTTATGCTCTCCGGAGTGCTATAATATCTTTCTTTTGCAAGTAGTGTGTCTATAGCTTGCCCATGAACAGGTGTAAAAATCCAATTGCAGCCCATACCTCACCATTTCACCGGTCCACAGTTATTTTCAGCTGGACAGCTGCTGAACTTACTTCTACCAATGTTTTCTGCTTCCGGGTCACTGCGCCACCACCGTTCACACTACATTTCATCCGAGATCCTTCCTCCCATTCTCGTTACCCAACCTATAACTTGAGGAAACTCTTTTTTGTATCCCCTCACAACTTCTAGAGCCCTAGAATGATGATATATTATCAAAGCTCGGAAAACCCTAAATTTTTAGGGATTTCTCTTACACCTAAACTAAGAATTCATAAAACCTAACCTAACACTCCCACACAAATTTTGTTGTCCCTACATCACCCACCTAGCCAAAGCCCTAACCCATATATTTTTTTTCCATCAAAACATCCATGGGAAGAACAAGACATCATGCCACCACGAAGAAACCCGCAACGAGGTGTTCACAACCTCGCAGGAAAGTCCTCCAAATGCAACAAAAGATGGTCTTCTTTGAGTAGAGACAATCTGATAAGGTCACCCATTGTCACAACGGTGACTCATTTGATCAAGGGGAGAAAGTGAACCTCTTCTATCGAAAAGTTTCCAATAATGAAGAACAAATACCCCGGTGATTCCGCATGGAATATCAAAGGAGAAGCCATGACTTCGGAGTATAAATGAATTTACCAGATCCTGACTATCACATGGATCTGAAAGAGTATATAGAATGACTCCAAACAGTGAAATAAATTTTTTAATACAAAAATGTTCCTCATGACGATTTTTAAATTGACAGTCGTCAAGCTCAAGAAGAACGCTTCCATATGGTGGGAGAATCTGAAACATATTCGACAGTGAAAAGTAAAATGTAAATTCACTACCTAATCTAAAATAAAAAGGAAGATACACTGCAAGTGCCTAACACACAGTACAAACAAAATATATTTTTAAGATTTCACCATTTACAACAACAAGGTCTCTCACTGGAGAGTACACCACTGAGTTCAAGCAGCTTATGTTGAAATGTGAACTAGTGGAACCATAATAATACACCATAGCCCGATATCTTGGGAGATTGAAATTGTCCATTGGCAATATGGTACAATTACGATCATATTGAACATTATAGGATATTCAGATCCTAGCCTTTAAGGTGGAGAGACAACATAGCAGTATCAGGTCCACACATTTTTTCAAACAAAAATCAGCCATTGAATCAGATGGCAATAGTACGCCCAGTGGAGCATCCAAGTCGAGTTCGTATGAGGAGTGACCCATCTTGAGTGGAGAAGAAGTATAGACAGCCAGTACTCTCAAATCTATCCTAGCCAAAAAGTGCTTCCGGTGTCAAGATTTTGGACACATTACATCAAATTACCCTAACATAAGGGTGATCTCTTTCACTGAGCAGAGAGCGGTTTAGTAAATAGACAGTGACACAGAAGTGAATAAAGACATCAAAGAAGAGTATCGGCTTGCAGCTGACGAGGGAGAAATATTAATGATTCAAGCTTTAGCCCATGAGAGAGTCGCTGGCAAAACTAACATTGATTGTCCTAGAAACTATGGAGTCCTAACAGACAGTTTACCTCCTAGTTGATTATTGTTGAGAGAGGTCCAGTCTGCCATAGATTTCATTCCAGAGTTAGTTCCTCCAACAAGCTTGTTTATTGGATGTGATCACCCGAGTATGAATAATAGGAGAAACAAGTTACAGATTTAATGATTTGAGACTTTATTTGTGAGAATAACTGTCTATAGGCAATTTCGGCTCTAGTTGTGCCAAAAAAGGATGACAATTTATTTTATGAGGATATGTTTTGAAATGATGTGTTTTAAAATAGCATGGATTGGACATGAGTATAGATTTTGTAATGTAGTTGCCTCATAAACAACAAAACAATGATTTTGTTATGGTGGCAGTAGATTGATTTCAGAAGCGTGCAAAAAAGAAGCCTCTCCTAGCTAGAGAGAATAATGCGGGAGCTTAAGCCACGTGATCGCAGTTTGAAAGGTTATAGAACTGCAAGATTACAAAACCGTCAGCGACCGCGGCGGACATGTGGCATGGGATGTAATTCTGAAATTAATTCTGGCATATTTCTATTTCTTTTATGTTGTTTTTTTTTTCATAAATTTCTCTTTTCTAATTAGATTATTTTCCATTAGGAGACTTCTATAAAAGTTGTGTGGTAGTTGTTTGAATTTCAGTTTTAACTTTATGAATTTTGAGAGAATTTTCTCTGATTTATGCTCTTTGGAGTGTTGAAGTTTCTTCCTTTTGCAAGTGGTGTTTGTAGCTTGCCCAAGAATAGGTGGTTGAGTCCCCTCACAACCTATAACTCGTTGTTTTGCTAGTCGGCCGCCGTTTTCAGCCGGACAACTGTCAAATTTACTTTTTTCGGTGTTCGGCAGTAGAACACCGATGTTTTCTACTTCCGAATCACCGCCCCGCCGCCGTTCACACCGGATTTCATCTGACATCCTAACCCTATATAACTTCCCTAACTTCTTTTTGTATCCCCTCATTTGTTCTAGAACCCTAGAACAATGTCAAGAAATTTCATGCAAGATAAAATCATAAAGCAATCAATTTGTAAGACAGTAAATGGTGGTGGAAGATTTTCATGACTCCAACCTTAATTAAAGAAATGGCAAAGTCAAGACAAAGCAAATTGTCATGCATCATTTAGGCATGTGTAATATGCAGCTAAGATCTTTGTCGATATAACAAAATCTAATTTCCCACTGCTCGTTCTACATATGTTCCAAATTATGAAAATTTAAAACCATCACTGACTTCCAAAAATGGATGAATATAGAAGAATTTTTTTGCATAGGTGTTGATTTCAACAGTGATGCTGTTCTAATCCTAAGGCTAATGTAGATATCAACATCGGAGTATTATACCAAATATGTGGAGAGAATCCTCATTTTCATTAGTTTTTGTTTAGTGTTATATGAGATGTTATATATATTCTTCGCAAATCATTTTGAAAAACTTCTATCCAAATTACTTTAGATCTACTAATTTCTATCTTAATCATTCAATACTAATTTTAACTACATTATACCCTTCATTGTATATGTCCAAATTTCTTAAATTAACTTTATAACTACTTTATATGCAATAGATTTCACTCCAACCGTACTTCAAATATAATCATTTTTTAATTTACCCTTCATAATTTTTCCACGCGTCCAGATTAGTATTCTCATTTCTAAAAAGCAAAACTTAACTATAAATGACTCTTTTAATACCCAACACTTGATTCACATAGCATAGCTGTCCTAATTGTTGTATTATACAATTGTCTTTGGCATCCACTTGTAATACTCTTTAGGTACTTTATCATTATAGAAACCCAATAATAACTACAAATTATATTCACATTTACATCTCTATTCTTCTAAATAAAAGATTTGAGATACTTAAACGTAACAAACCTAAGCATAAATTTTTCTTGTAATTATTCTAATTGATAACCATTGATATCACACAGATAAAATTTTATATTATATACTCAATTTTATTCTACTAATTATAGATCATTATAATCTAAACATGTTAGCTATTTTCATTTATTTCATTCATTTCAGCATGCATATCATTGATTAGCACTATATCATTATTGGGCATACATCAAAACACCTAACATAGAATTCCTTTTGTACGAATATCCAATACATACAAATATGAGCATAATGTTGATACTTGCCATAATTTTTTTTAACTAAAAACTCCATGGTTACTCCATAACAATATGTAATATTAGTCAATACTTCATCATACATATTTTATTAACTTCAATGTGCCTTTGACAAACGCACTTTCTTAGTGCAAATTATATCAATTCTCATGCATCATTCACAGCAATCACTTGCTTACTGCACACATCATCAAAGAGAAATATGAGTCCTTTATGATGAGTGTTTGCATGGGAAAAAGCATAGAAAGGCTTTGGCGAGTCTTTCTCACAACCATATACCTTATACAAACCAAAAAACACATTAGAATCCATTCTCAACTCTTTTACTTTCCATTTATTCTCTTAAAACAAAATTCACTTCCATAACAGATCTTTCTATCATAAAAGTAAATTGATTCTCGCAAAAGAACATGATTATCCAGAACTATTGTAAGTTTTATTCCTCCATAATTACAACAATTATAAGCATCTACAAAATATCAGCGTCACAGTTTTTTTTTTTTGGCATCCACTCAAGTCTTCTAATTTCTATTAAAATATTAGCAGGCCAACGAACAATTCCCAATTACTCTTTAAATTTCAATAAATATCTGATATGGACATATAAATACCTTTATACATCTTCTTTAAAGATAGCTCCATTTAGGGCTGTCAAAACGGCTCGTTGTTTGCGAACAGCTCGTGTTCGGAGTTCACTAAGTTAACGAGCCAAACACGAACAACACGAACAAATATTCGTTCGTACATGTTCGGCTCGTTTTAGCTCGAAATACTACTAATCAATTATATATATATCCTTGATGAATAGTCTTTTTTACAAATTTAGTTGACTACAAGACTAAAAAGAT